ACACTCCCTCAGACCTCTACGGATAAAAAATAAATCGCGTATATTATTTTTATGACAAGGAGTAATGGGAACACACACACCTAGCTGGACAACGCATGGAAGTGCTGTTGAAGAAAGTCCCTGGTTTGCAGATGGACCAGGCATGCTAACGCGAACACACCTACAGACACCACATGTGCCAGAAGATTCTCAGGAAAATCTGTACTTTCACACAACCCCTTTTTTTTTCATGCTAGCTGGCAGGTTTAACTACATTCAGTGAGGATTTTGAATCCACGAAGCAAAGGCATTTCATGATATAGTCATGGTTGCACTGTTGGAGAAATGTCGGCAGCAGCGTATTGCACTTCAGGCACCAATTAGTGGCTATATTAGCAAAATGCCACTATGGAAAGCGCAGGGACATTTTATAGGATGCAGTGCTCATTCAAGAGTATATGCCTTATGAGTGGCTCTAACATTAAGCAATGCAAACATGTCTTGAACTGTACAGTATGATGCATTTCCAGTTTTCATTTCTTGTTAATAAGGAATAAAAGAAGATAGTAAGAAAAGAGAAGTGGGCGTTGTGAGACTGTTGCCGGAACACTGTCAGCACTGTTTACACAAGAAAAATGAGTTTAATGAAGGATTTCTACATCTTCATGGAAATCTGTGCATTCTCAAAACCTGTTAAGCATGCAATAAGTAGACACGTTTTCCTCCTACTCTATAACTTCTCAGGTAATTAGTATGCATTTCCACAAGTTTGGTGTAATTGCTTCCTTTGTGGAAGGACTGTTAACCGTCTGTGTGAGGATGAGTGTGTAGGTTTATCTAATGTTTTTCTACCTCTATTTGGAGCATTGTAATCTCCTCCTCCAGTTTCCTCTTGAGGAGTACATCTTTCTTCTTCAGGTCTATCTGCCTCTTCTCCTCGTTAGTCGCTAACTCCAAGTCTCTCGTGTCCTTCTCCAGGGCCTCCAGAATCGAGTTTCTTTTAGTGATAGCTGCCTCCTGGATGTTCACCTTCTCATAGTAGTTACACAAAATCTCTTCATGTTCCAGGAGCTGGATTCCTCTGTAGATTTGACAAGTGCATATAGTATATACGAGCTTTAGGTCAATATGTAAGCATTCGGGTAGCAATTACTTGAGCTTTAAGCTATGAACATACAGGAAGTTGCGCCGCTGTATGGCAGTTTCGTGATTCTTGTTTATTTCCAGCAGAGTCTCCTGCTGATGGCTGATCATTTGTGTGAGCTTCATTAGTTCCAGTTTGTTGTCCTCACACTCCTGATTTATCTGGCACTGCTTCCCGGCAGCCTACAACAAGTCAGAGAGAAAGAGAAAGTAATAAG